CACGATTTACAGTATACCTACGATCACGTTTTTTTCATAAGATTCACTTTGTGTTGTTTTCTTGTAAACAACTTAATGTTTTGGTCAATATTTGAGACGCTTTGTCATTTCTGTAACAAAAGACAACAATTTCTATTAGGATTAAACGTTATTGTAGACCCATTAAGGAAGTATAGTTTAGGGTTTTTTTATCTAAAAAAGATTGAGGGGATTTTTCATGATCCGAGAATAATTGAGGGGATTTTTTATTAAAAACCCTATGTACATATATTAGGCCATTAGATAAATCATGTTATCTTAATAATCGATAACGAATATGCAGATGAAATTTATCAGTCATTTTCTAATTTATCGTTATAGTAGTATGAATTATCAATCATAGATGGTTTCCATATGTCTTCACAATGTCTATTTGTTATTATCTTATACTTAGCACTTCACAATTTCTTTAGTAATGTGGCATATGGAATATACTGAACAACATCTTGTTTGCCTGTTGTTTACATTCTTTTCAATCGATGAATGAGAAAGCTTATCTCTTCATCAGTAAGGTGTAGGTTTTACTCTTCAACTTTGATTTAAGATTTTGCTAGTCAGAGTTGAAGAGACCCGTAGTTCATTTTAAAATAGTTTATGTATTTTTTGTCATTTATCTTCATCTTGTAAGTTTATATATATTTTGGTTTTTGTCCATTATAGAAAAATAGTTGAGATTTTAATAAACGATTTCTTAAAGGTTTGTCTTCCTAATGTGTGGTTGAATGTAAGATTTTCTTTTTTTAACTACAAACTTTTTAGTAAGAAAAGACTTTTCATATTTCATGAAATATATAACTTTTAAAAATAATCTTAAGATTTTTTTCCTTAACATTTTATTACGTCAGTTGATTTTTAATAATTTTTTAATTATAAAATCTATACACACATTTTAGGTTTTTTTTATGTGTAATATATAACTTTGGTAAAACAAAATTCATATATAAAATCCATACACACATTTTAGGTTTTTTTATATGTGTAATATATAATTTTGGTAAAACAAAATTCATATATAAAATCCATACACACATTTTAGGTTTTTTATATGTGTAATATATAACTTTGGTAAAACAAAATTCATATATAAAATCCATACACACATTTTAGGTTTTTTTATATGTGTAAACAAAATTCATATTATCATTACTACTAAAATCATGTGTAGTCTAGAATATGAACCGCGCATTCGCACGAAATTTTGTTATACA